GAGTTCTAAGTAGATTCTAGTTATCAGCCCCTTATCAGATGTGTAGGATGCAAAAATTTTCTCCCATTCTGTAGGCTGTCTGTTAACTTTTATGACTATTTCTTTGGCTGTACAGAAGCTTTTTAGTTTTATCATGTCCTATTTATTTATTTTTGTTGCTGCTGTGATTGCCTTTGGGGTCTTCTTCATAAACTCTTTGCCTAGGCCGATGTCTAGGAGAGTGTTTACAACATTTTCCTCTAGAATTCTAATAGTTTCATACCTTAGGTTTAAGTCTGTTATTCAGCGTGAGTTGATTTTTGTGAGAGGTGAAAGGTGTGGATCCTGCTTCAGCCTTCTACAAGTGGCTATCTAGTTTTCCCAGCACCATTTATTGAAAAGGGATTCTTTTCCCCAGTGTATGTCTGTTTTTGTCTGTTTTGTCAAAGATGAGATGGCTATATGAGGATGGTTTTATATCAGCGTTCTCAGATCTGTTCCACTGGTCAATATCCTTATTTTTGTGTGAATACCATATTGATTTAATTACTACAGCTTTGTAGTATAGTTTGATATCTGGCATATTAATACCTCCCATTTTGTTTTTATTGCCTAGAATTGCTTTTGATATGCGGGGTCTTCTCTGGTTCCAAACAAAGTGTAAAATTATTTTTTCATATCTGTGAAGAATGACGTTGGGATTTTAATAGATATTGCATTGAATCTGTAGATCAATTTGGGTAGTATAGATATTTTAACGATGTTGAGTCTGCCGATCCATGAGCATGGTATGGATTTCCATCTGTTTACATCTTCTGCTATTTCCTTCCTCAATGTTTCATGGTTCTCCCTGTAGAGGTCTTTTACCTCCTTGGTTAAGTATATTCCTAGGTACTTTATTTTCATTTTTGCTATTGTGAAGGGTATTGAGTCTTTGATTTGGTTCTCAATTTGATTGTTGTTGGCATATATGAATGTCTCTGATTTCTATGTGTTGATTTTGTATCCTGAGACTTTACCAAATTCATTTATCAGATCAAGGAGTCTCTTGGTTGAATCCTTGGGGTTTTCTAAATATAATATCATATCATCAGCAAACAGTGAAAGTTTGATCTCTTCTGCCCCAATTTGGATACCTTTAATTCCTCTTTCACGTCTGATTGCTATAGCCAGGATTTCCAGCACTATAAATAGAAGTGGAGATAGTGGGCAGCCTTGCCTGGTTCCAGTTCTAAGTGGGAATGCTTTCAATTTTTCCCCATTCAGTATGATGTTGGCTATGGGTCTATAGTATATGGCTTGTATCATTTTTAGGTATGTCCCTTCTATGCCTATTAAGTGTTCTTCTCATGAAAGGGTGTTGAATTTTGTCAAAAGCTTTTTCTGCATCTATTGAAAGAATCATGTGGTCTTTGTTTTTGCTTCTGTTTATGTGGTGAATTACCTTTATACCTTTATCAAAACGTCCCAAAACAATCAATGTTGATGTGGATGCAGAGAGATAGGAACACTCCTACACTGCTGGTGGGACTGCAAACTAGTTCAACCTGTATGGAAAGCAATATGGAGATACCTTAAAGCAATACAAGTGGATCTACTATTTGATCCAGCAATCCCATTGCTGGGCATCTACCCAAAAGATCCAAGGACACACTACAAAAAAAACACTCGAATGTTTATAGCAGCACAATTCATAATTGCAAAGCAGTGGAAACAACCCAAGTCCCATTAATTCATGAGTGGATTAATAAAATGTGGTGTATGTATACCATGGAGTACTATTCAGCTCTAAGAAACAACAGTGATATAGCACATCTTGTATTTTCCCAGATAGAGCCGGAACCCATACTACTAAGTGAAGTATCCCAAGAATGGAAAAACGAGCACCACGTATACTCACCAGCAAATTGGTATTAACTGAGCAGCACCTAAATGGACACATAAGAACTACATTGATTGGGTATTGGGTGGGGGGGGGCGGGTATATACACACATAATGAGTGAGACGTGCACCGTCTGGGGGATGTTCACGCTTGAAGCTCAGACTTGTGGGGGGTGAGGGGCAAGGGCATTATTTGAAACCTTAAAATTTGTACCCCCATAATATGCTGAAATAAAAAAATAAATAAATAAAACACACATGGAAAAAAGAAAACCTTTTGGAATGGATTCACTATCTAGATGCCATGAAGAGCATTTGTGATTCACGGGAGGAGGTGAAAATAACAAAATTAGCAGGAGTTTGGAAGAAGCTCATTCTAACCCCCATGAATGATTTCGAGGGGTGCAAGACATCAGTGGAGGAAGTAACTCCAGATGTGGCAGAAATAGCAAGAGAAGCAGAATTAGAAGTGAGGCCTGAAGATGTGACTGAATTGCTGCAACCTCATGAGCAAACTTGAGCAGGTCAGGACTTGCTTCTTACAGATGAGCAAAGAAAGCGGTTTCTGGGGCTGGAAACTACTCCAGGTGAAGCATGCTGGGAGCATTGTCAAATGACAACAAAGGACTTAGACTGTTACATAAACTTAGTTGATAAAGCAGTGACAAGGTTTGAGAAGTTCGACTTGGATTTTGAAAGAGGTGTCACTGTGAGCACAGTGCTATTGAACAGGACTGCGTGCAACAGAGAAATCTGTAACTAAAGCAAGGGTCAGCCAACATGGCAAACCTCACCGTTGTCTTATTTTGAGAAATTGCCACAACGACCCCATCGACATGGAGGCAAGATACTCCGCCAGCAAAGAGATTATGGCTCACTGAGGATCCAGATGATCATTAGCATTTTTCAGCAGTATTTTTGATTAAGGTATACACATTATTATTATAACAGAATGCTGCTATTGCACATTGAATAGACTGTGGCATAGTGTGAACATAGCATTTATACCCACTGGGAAACCAGAAACACTGTGTGACTCGCTTTATTGTGGTATTTGCATTTGCTTTTCTGTGGTCGTCTGGAACCGAGCCGGCAATGTCTCCAAGGGACGCCCGTGTGCAGAAGGAGATTTGTTTTGAGGAACCGGCTCACACAGTCAGGGAGGCTGAAGAGGCCCACGATCTGCAGCCAGCGAGCTGGAGACCGGAGAGTGGATGGTGCGTCCCAGCCTGAGTCTGAAGGCCCGGGAAGCGGCACGGCTGATGGTTTCTGGGCGAAAGCCGGCAGGCTGGCACCCAGGAAGAGCTGACGTTTCCAATCTGAAGGCAGAAAGAGGCCGATGCCCCAGCTCAAGCAGGCAGGCAGGGGAAGTTCCCTCTGACTCCGGGGAGCCTTTTTGTTCTGTCCAGGCCTTCGGCTGAGCGGGCGAGACAGACACAATCACATGGCGGAGGGGCATCTGCGTAGTCTGCCAGTCCCCATGCCCATCCCTCCCCAAACACCCTCTCAGACACGTACCCAGAAATAATGCTTGACCAAACGTCTGGGTGAAATGACCCGGTCGCGTTGACACAGAAAGTTAACCATCACGCTGTGAGAGCTGTGTGGCCCCTCTGCTTGCAACGCTGACGCTCAGCCCTGCTGCAGCCGGCAGGGGCCGGACACCAGGCGGGAGCTTGGAGTTGCCAGCCCAGAGGCACTGACGGGCCGGCCAGGCCACACGGGCTGCTCCACGCGTGTCTGGCGGTGGGGCTTCCACCCCGGGGACAGCCTGTGCACGGCCCTGTCTCGGGCAAGGCAGAGCTGCCTGTGCTAAGGACTCCTTCCTCCCAGCAGGCCTGGGGGGCCGGGATCGGGGGCCACACCCTGCCCTCTCCAGAGACCTGCTGCTCCCTGCGCCTCGTAAGGCCCAATACAGACTCACGCAAAGACCCAACTGCTTTGTCAACGGGGCTTCCCAGGTGTAACTTCTGGAGGTTGTTTCTTGGCAATTCCACTTCAGGCAGAAAAAATGTCCCGACCGCCTGTGAACACCAACGGCCCCAGGGAGCGCCGGCCGGCCGGACCCGGCGTCTGCTCCGCAGCCTGGGAAGCAGTTTGCATCTGAGGGGAGCATCCGTCCCAGGAGAGCTCGATCCCTGTGCGGGGTGTGAGAAAGGGCACATCGGAGAGAATGAGGATTTAAGGTCTACTATTGAAGCAACCTGCTGAAACAGACCAAAATTATCCAAGAAAGGAAGCAAAGTAGGCAAAATATCATCTTTCCCTTGCATTTGGTCTGGATGTTTCTTTTTAAAACGTATTGTAGGGGAGAGAGCAGTTTGCTCCCCTCCCTCCAGATCCACTGCACATCGTAGCAGAGAAATAAGCCCACGGAGAGAGAAAGAACACACAGCGTCCTAAGCCACTGGGTCTCGCCCGGGGTGGCCCCCGCCGAGAGTTCTCCCAAGTGGCCGAGGGTTCGAGCAGGGGCAGGAACGTGCAGCAGAGCTGGAGCTTGGCTAAGCCTGCCTCCGGGAAAAGGGTTCCTGGAGAGGGAGCGGGTTCCAGAAAGCCCCACGATTATTTCATTTCTCCTCTGGTGAAAATATTTAGAACAGAATCTGACTTGTTGAAATTTTGAGATACTTTTTTTTGCCATCGAAACAACCAACCCTGCATATCATTCCATCAGTCTCTTTCCTTCCCAACTCCTCTGTCCTCTCTGCTGGGATGATGTCGTTAAGACACAGCTGTCGTCCCTGAGTCCCCTTCTGTCACGGAGACCCTCTGCTATGCTGGAAAGATGGTCCAGTTCCTCATCCTTCTCATCCTGAGAAGTTGGAAGATGACTCATTTATCAGTTTACTGTGTCTCCTTAACAAGCTACGAGGTGCTGCCCCTCACCCATCAGGCCTGAGAGGATCCTGGGGCGTTTGCACATTGTTATTGCTGTGGACAGGGGGAATCACTTGGCGGACTCTGCTTTGATCGTGCCCATTTCACAGATGATAAAAGTGAGGCCAGGGGTGGTGTTCACATGTTCACTTGGGGTCACCTAAGCAGGTGGCACAGTGGCACTGCGTACAGTAGCTTGCGAAGGACAGCCGGGTACGGCACGAGTGATTTGAATGACGTTATTTTTTTGTTTTTTCCCTAGTGATTCCTGAGAGAGAGAATCATCATTTTTGGTAAACGAACCAATCCCAGAATGTGAATAGTGTGGAACGTTATCTGCTGACAGCTCTTTGCAACAGACTTCCTCCCCGCACTTACCCTGCGGCTTAGCTTTCCAGCCAGAGGTTCCTCTTATCCAGCAAAAAGTGAGTTATTTGCTTTCTCGATGTTAGAGCGTTAACACGGAGGATCCTGAACTCCCTGAGAAATAGCAGAGATGAGTGGGCAAGAGAGGAAAGAATCTGATAAGAGATTTTAAGAAGTGACCTGTTAACAGAAATGGAATTTCAAGGTATCTGTGCACATCAGAACCCTGGACTCAGTTAGACCAGAGGAGGATGTCAACAGTCCACACAGTTAGCACTGGACACGTGGTTTCTGGTCTTGTGTGTTGTCTAGCTGCACTTCGTCATGGGGTCGCAGAAGAGCAGAGCCAGAGGACCTGGTGGGAGACGTGGTCAGATATCCTTAGAGACAGGGACTCTGAGACTGCCCTGGGTCACGGGCTGGCTGCGGAGCCAGGACAGACGCCCGAATCTTCCTGTTCTCTGTCTGGTACCACCATATCAAAGACACTGGCAGAGCTCAGTGCTTAACTGCTTAACCACGGCCCCCACCATGTGTTCAGTGGGATTCTAGAGTCCCTGAAACGTGGGTCTCTTCCTCCCATCTCAGCCTCCCGGCCTAAAGCTAAACAGACCCTCATGCTTTGGAGGTCTAATGCTTTGATTCTGTCCCTTTCAGATGGCTAACCCGAAGATGAGACTGATGTATATTTGTCTCCTGCTCGTGGGGGGCCTTTGTTTGTACGTCAGCATGTCCGGCCTGAGTCCCTTTAAAGAGCAGCCCTTTGCTTTCAAGAAAGAGTACGGGAGCTTCCTCCAGCTCCCAGACATGGACTGCAGGCAGAACCCCCCCTTCCTGGTCCTGCTGGTGACTTCGTCCCACAAGCAGCAGGACGCCCGCATGGCCATCCGCCAGACGTGGGGGAGAGAGAGGATGGTGAACGGAAAGCTGGTGAAAGCCCTCTTCCTCCTGGGGACCACGGCCAGCAAGGCCGACACGAGGGCGGTGGCCGAGGAGAGCCGGCGCCACCGGGACGTGATCCAGAAGGACTTCGTGGACGCCTACTACAACCTGACGCTGAAGACCATGATGGGCATGGAATGGGTGCATCACTTCTGTCCCCAGGCCACGTTCGTGATGAAGACAGATTCAGACATGTTCATAAACGTCAACTACCTGACCGAGCTGCTCCTGAAGAAAAACAGGACCAGCAGGTTTTTCACCGGTCACTTGAAGCTGAACGAGTTTCCGATCAGGAACAGCTTCAACAAGTGGTTCGTCAGCAAGTACGAGTACCCGTGGGACAAGTACCCGCCCTTTTGCTCGGGCACCGGCTACGTCTTTTCCGGGGATGTGGCGAGCCGGGTGTTCAACGTCTCGGAGAGCGTCCCGTACATCAAGCTGGAGGACGTGTTCGTGGGGCTCTGCCTGAAGAAGCTGCGCATCCGGCTGGAGGAGCTGCACTCGGAGCGCACCTTCTTCCCGGAGGGCCTGCGCTTCTCCACCTGCCGCTTCAGGAAGGTCGTGGCCTGCCACTTCGTCAAGCCTCAGGATCTCGTCAACTACTGGCAGGCCGTGGAAAGTTCCCGGGAGGAGGACTGTCCGGCTGCGTGAGGGGCTTGGTGATACCTCCAGACAGGGTCAGATGACTGCAGTGATGGTGGCCGAAAGGTTTTGACACCTTGCTGGGAGCTGGCCAGGGTGGGGACATGAGGGCGCTGTCCTCTGTACTCCGAATCTACACCCAGACACAAGCTCACAGGAAGCCACTGGTTAGTTCTCGCTTGGTGCCATCCTTTGAGCACCCAACACGGCTGTACCAGGTGTTTGATTTACCCCTGCAGTTTCGCATTTCAGGGGTCAGTAGCCACATGGCGTGGTGGGTGTGATTGTTCCCACTTTACAGATAAGGAAACAGCAGCCAAGAAAGGTAAAGAGACTTGACCCAAGCTCAGAGCAGGGATGGAAATGGAACATGCCAGAATGCAATGGGCAGCCCCCAGCCTGGGCCATCCCCTGTGCCGCCTGTCTTGGCAGAGGGCCGTGGTGACACAGGCTCCGAGGGAAGCCTTGCGGCTGGCATCCTTCAGTACCTATCCGGAGTCCCCCGCATGCCAGCTCCCAATCCCTGTGCGTTTTAGTGCAAAGACTGGGTGGAGCAAACGCACCGGGTTCCTGCCTGCGCAGGGTCGGGCGTGGCCGGGCCCTGCGGCATTGGCAGCTCTGCACCCAGCATGCGCGGAAGCACAGCCCGGGGCAGAGGACGTGCCGCCATGGCCGCAGCTCAGCCGCTGAGCAATGCCCAGCTCCGGACAGAAATCAGTCGTTATAAATTTATGAATCAGGCTCAGAAACCACTGCAGTCTGGCCACTGTGCAGACGGATCATGCTGACTTCTCCAGTGAGCAGGACGTCTCTTCCGAGCCATCTGTCACTCGGGTCCCGAAGCTCCAGAAGGCTTTTGTCTTCAATCCATGGAGACCTTTCGGTCTCTCACTTCAAACCAAAGGGCACACAGTCCAGGTGGGATTCTGGGTCTCTTCCCCCGATCTGGGAATTCCACTGGATCTAAGTCAAAATGATCTTAAGGACCCCTTGGACACAAAGCCCCGAGTGGGCCCGGGTCAGTGGGGTGTCCCTGTGTCTGCTTCCCAAGCCCGACCCAAGCTCATCCTCATTGAATTTCTCATTTGGCCAAGGAACAAGAGAGCCATGCGGATTGGCATTTACCTTTCAGTTTTCTTCCCACCCCACACCCCGCCCCTGCCGAGGTTAGCGGGAGCCTATTTTGCAGGGTTGCGTGAAAACAAGGCACTTCTTTGCAAGGTGTCAGCCTGTTTAGCCACTACCACGTGACCTGCAAAGCACCCGTCATCATAGAAATGATTGTTTTTTATTGTTTACTGTATCCGACTTTACTGAGTACTCAGAGAAAAGGGCCCAGGTGGCTGCCTCACTTACAAATGTTGGACTCAGTGCCCACCTGAGCTCAGGAAAAGCTATTTGCTGCAGACGGTTGTGACGATGCTGACCTGTGGAAGCAGGTCCGGCGTCCTACTTTGCACAGCACTTCTTGTGTCTGGATTGAGCTGCTGCTTTGCACGTGTGTCGCTGCGTCCTGGCTGCTCTGAGCACCCTGGGTCATGCTCAGAGGAGCCTCCTTCTCAGGTGGAAAATCAGGGGCTGACACGCCTCGGTTCCATACTCTGGAGAGAGCGGTGTGCTTCGAGGGTGACGGGGCCTGGCGGTAGGCCTGGTCTGTGCTTAGCTGTCCAGCGTGCCCAGCGTGTGTCTGCGGCCACCAGTCTTGGCGGGTGAGCTGTGGTCAAGCCGCTGCCTCTGCTCGGCGGGTCCAGGCTCCCGTCTCCCCAGCCCTTGGCCCTGGGGACAGGTGAGAGCAGGTGTGGGCCCCACTGCCTGCCTCTGTGTGCTCTTAAAGGACAGTCTGCAAGCCACGTTGTTTCCCCCACTGTGAGGCAAGTTTTTATCATTTTTCACGTCTCTAGAACTTGAAGGGACCTTGGAGCACATTCAGCCCTGCCTCCTCTTTTATGTGGGGTCAAAACGAAGCTCAGAGAGACCAGAGACTGGCCCGAGACCTCGCAGCTGGTGCGTGGGGAATGCAGGGTCCGGCCACCCTGTGTTGCACCGGGCCCCATGTCTGGGGGAGGGAGAGCCCAGGCGAGCACACACGAGATGGCGGAGCTTTTCCTCTCCAGCAACCCCCGTGTGGCTTCCGCACGGAACTGGGGAGAGGCCAGGGCCGCTGGGCAGTGGCTCCACTTAGTCCCCAGAGTGGAAGGATTTGATTAGCAGGTACTGTTTGCCAGCTCCTGAGATAAGGGCTTTATAGGTGGGAGAGGGTACAACCACTGTGCCTGGTGCACAGATCAGGAAACTGAGGCAGAGAGAGAGGTTGAACAACTAGCTCGAGGTTATGTAGCTGAAAAGTGGCAGAAGTAGGATGTGTCCCCAAGCTGTCGGGGCCACCGTGTGTGTGTGTGTGTGTGTGTGTGTGTGTGTGTGCAGCACTGCCCTGCGGCCTCCCAGGCCGTGAGCAGACTCTTCTCCGTGTTCCAGGGCTGCAGGGGCCGGCTGCATCGGCTGCTCCTGCTGCATTTCCAGGGGACGTCCTCAGGGCCCTGCAGTCTGCCTCCCAGGGGGACCGTGGCCGGGGCCGTCTGTCTCCTGTACCACCAGCACCTCCGCTGTCGGACTGGAGTCCGAGCTCTTCTCCAGCCTTAGGAGGGTGACCCTGCAAGGCCACGCTTCCATCCGCAGTCCACCGTCCCCTCTGCTGGACCGTCCCACAGGCACACAGACAGGCTGCCATTTCCCGTGTGACAACTCCTGTCCGGTCCCGTGGCCTTGGTGGCAGCAGCCCACGCGGGGCCGTGCGTGTTTGCTGCACCCCCGGGCCTTCCTGTCTTTCTGAGCTCCCCCGGCGGACGTGTGCACCCTGCACTCCAGGACTTCTGCCGGCCCGTGTTGCTGGGTCGTGCGGGCCGTTCTTGGCCCTTGTCATGTGTGACCAGGAGCTGGTCTCAGCCGCTTCCCCGGGAGAGTCTCGTGTCTTCTGCTCCCGCGGGGCTTCCCTCCTGCTCGCGGGTCGCGCCTCTGCGTCTCCTTCGCTTCTTCCTTGTCTCTGCTCTGCCCGGCTAGTGCCGGTGTAGCCTGGGCTCGGCCTGGGCCACTTTCTCCCCTGGTTGCTCCACGTCCTCCGGGGCTCGTCCTGTCTCATGGCTGCAGATGTCCTCTGTTATGGTGACAGTGTCCCCATTTATCTCCTGCCAGAACTTTCTTGCCCTTCAATCTCATATAATCAAGTACTGTGTACTTGATTTCACCTAATGAGCAAATCCAGCGCTGCACTTCTGATCACCCTCAGCCATCTGTCCCGACCGCAGCCTCCCCAGCTGGGTCATGGCCGCTCCACCCCTCCTGCCGCGAAAGAAAGTCAAAGACCCTGGAGCCGCCCCCCCCCGCCCCCCGCCCGACTCCTCTCGCTCAGCTGCGGCATCAGGAAAGGCTGCCGGCCCGACATTCAGGTTATGTTCAGAAGCCGACCACTTGCCGCCCCTCCACGGCGGCCCCCTGTGCAAGCCCCTGTCGCCTCCCCCTGTGTCCCTGCGGTAGTCTCCGGCCTGGTCTCAGCTTCCACCATGGCGTCCCCTTGCTCTGCTCCCAACGGCATCCAGAGTGGTCCTTTGAAAGTCTCACTTCTCTGCTCAAAACCTTCCCGTGGCTCTTCTGTGTCCGAGCAAAAGCCACATGCTCAATTCTGCCGTCTGCCTGTCACTCCCTCATCTCATCCCATCCCGGTTCCCCTGGCTCCCTCGGCCTCCCTGCTGCTCCTGGCACATCCACCTCGGGGCCTTTGCACCCCTGCTCCTCCGCCAGGAACGCCCTTCCCCCAGATGGCTTGTGGCTCCCTCCTCTGCCTCCTTCAAGTCTCGGGCCAGCGTCCCCTTCGGCGAGGCCTGCCCTGACCCCCTTATGTGAAATCGCATCTCGGTCCACTCCCCTGTCCCCTAACTGATATTCTTTCCATTGCACTACAGTTTCTAATAAAGCATATAGTATCTAATTATTACAACATACCTATTCTTTAGTTTGCGTGTCCCCCGACTGCAACGTAAGCCTTGTGTGGGCGCGGGTCTTCCTCTGCTCTCGTCCTGGCACTTGGGAGACGCCCTGGGAGTGTTTGTTGCGAGGAACTGAACGGGCCTGATGTTTAGAGGGAAAAAGGTGAATCTGGACTGAAAAAAGGAAAGATTTCCAAAGCCCAGCCGACACTGTGTTTCCAAATGGATCAGCCGCTGGGAAAATGGGTGCATTTTTATTGACTCTGAGGCCCCCAAACCGAGGAGGGCTCCACAGAGGCGCTCTGCAGGCCTCGGCCCGCCCCTTCCAAAGTGGAAAACCTCCTGCGGGCAGGGGGGGACGGATTGCACAGCAACGCTGTCCCAGTCTGCACCGCCCGGCCGTCTCTTCTGCACCCTCACGCCCGTCTTTTCTGACGAGCCCAGACATCTGCCTCTTTCACTCGACTGTGATGCGACTCTGAGCCCCCATGTTCCTGCCCCCGCCCCTCGGGGAACGGCACTAAGCCGGGTGTCAGAAAGTGTATACAGGATCATTAAAGTGACTTTTCAGTCCCTCGACCTTCTGTCAATAAATAGCTGCAGAAACAGGTGCATCCTGAGGACAATAAAAATCACACGATGTTAACATTTGAGGTTATTTTTTTTTTTTAATTTTATCCTTCTACCTTCACTGAGGTTATTTTTTTAAAAACCAGGACTGCAAAGGACTGTCAGCTCTCCTGGGCTGTGCCGGTGACTTCTGGACTCAGGAGGGCCCCTGCGTGGTGTCCCGGGACCTGGCCGCCCACGTGCGAGGCCACCGGCCGCCCGGGAAGGGCATGGCCAAATTCCAGAGCTCAAGTGCAGCTTCTAGGACCTCGGGAGTCTGTTTTGTCTACACCGAGGGGATTTAGTTGCTGAAAAGCCAGCCCTTAGGGTAAAAGGCAGCTTCCCTAATAAACAAGCCTGCGGTGTAGACTTTGAGGACTGTGTCTAATTATAAGGATTAAAGTTTAATTAAATACCTCCTCACTGGACTTAGAAGCTATATATAGGCTGTGGTATGGAATAAACTATTTTACAACAGTTTTGTGGTATTTTTATAAGCTACAATACAGGCCTTTTATTTTATTATTGAAAATCATCCCCTTGCTGTCCAGCCTCAGTGTCCTCTGAGGCAGAAATCCTGACATCTGGGCTGTTTGTCCCGCACTGCACTTTCGTCCACAGGTCCAATTGGATGGTCCCAGCCCTCCAGCTCTCTGTGTCCTGCAGCCCAGCCGTTTGCCTCTTTTTTTTTTTTTTTTTTTTTTTTTTTTTTTTTTTTTTTTTTTTTTT